TCACTTTGGAACCTCTGGTTTTCTCAAGTCACAATTTACAATCTACATTTCAAGGTCAATTGAACCACTTGATGGCCAATTTGGGGACACGGAGAGAGTTACATGAGGAATTATAAATAGGCATAAGGGTTTCTGACACCAAATAGACCCCCACAGCCACACACGGCTGAGTCCGTAATGATCTCAGGTCATTCCCCAAAGCGCGGGTCAAAGGGGCTCCGTGAGCACAGGGACTGTTGATTTAACACCGGCCTGGTGACATCCATTCTGCTCCAGTCCTGGGAACGTGGAGATATGGCACTAATGAGCTGCGAGGGGGAAAATCAGGATTTAAAGTGGTTGCGGAAACCTGACCCTTCTCTGACAGCCCAGGGCTCTCTTCTCAATTCTGAACCGTCCATCCTGTTTCAGGGACGACACCCTGTGGGTTCTGATGGGTCACGATCGGGGAACACCGGGTCCTGACAGAGATGGTCGTCCACGGGGACTGGAAGTCATCCAGGAGGGGACTTTGTCCAAGGGGTCAAAGGAAGTGCCTGAGGAACCGGAAAGTAGAATCGGTCTGTCTGTCTGTACGCCCCAACCTGACAGCATGTGGTGGTCACGGTGAAGGGGAGGCCTCAACTCTTTCGAGCGTAGGGAAAAAATTCATCCCCACGTCAAGACGAAGCCCTCACGTGGGTATTCAAATATGACTTCGTTTGGCCACTTTCCTTCGGGAGCCGAATCAGAAGTTTAGGGAGCCTTGCCTTTGTAGAACACGTCTGAAGATTGCACACTGTTTCGTCCTTGCCGCCAAATGTTCGAAAGCCGGTGTAGACGCGGCTGCGTCACAATCACCATTTCTCACAGGTGCCCTAAACCTCACTGCCAGAGATCTGGGTTTAGCGGGTTACCAGCGCTTCGGTCTCCCCACTGCTCGCTGGGGAAACTGAGTGGTGGAAAAGGCATTCGTATTTCATGATAGAGCTCATTCAATTCTTCCTGGGAAAGGCAGGGGAGTTGCCTCGGAAAACAAGGCAGCTGGTTCCGGACCAAGCCACGAACGGCCCAGAGATATTCAACCCTCGTCCGATGTTCATTCCCTCGCTAATCCGTTTTTTTCCCCCCCTCTCCATTTGGAGGGTCTCTTTCCCCTTAAGTTTCCTGCTTGTCTGGCTGCGACACCCGGTGCCTTGAACGTGATCCGGTCCGCCCCCGAACCCACAGCCGAACACGCGCTCTCGTGTTAAACCCTACAGCCCAGTCCTGTACTTCATCAAGGCACAATGGCAGCCACAACACCTGAACATGCCCCCTAATACGTTGTGACACCCTATTACTACCGTGCCTTTATGGCCTTCAAGGGAAATTACATTTTAAATTATAGCGCACAAGTATAATGGAAAATCTAATTGTAGCAATGACAATTTATTTATCAATCATTTATCATTTTGATTTATAAGGTGCCCAACTTGATTTAAAGGTAGCTAACGTTTTAAAATCTCAGGGCACCCGTACAATCAAGTACACGTTGGAAGCAGCAAACTGAACAAGGGGGCTGATTTTCTACAGCCTTCCGCTCACCTTTTCCCAGGGCTGACGCTAGGAGCCCAACGAGGTTGAGCCCAGGGACCTCCAGGCAGTAGCTCGGAACTTCTTGATATCACATCTCATGTATTATAGAATTTGGCGGCCATGAAGCGTCAACGTTAACAGGGAGCCAGGTCCAGTCGTATTGATATTTCTGTGTGCCAGGTTTACACGGCCTCGGAATTCAGAGGTAGGAGGGGCTTCCAGAAGCAAACTGATGGCCATGTCCCCCTCCTCCCTCTTGCTTCTAAGGAGTGTGCCTTGAGGATTCACCCAAAGGCGTCCGTAAGTGCAGGTTATCAGCCCTTTGCACGCAACCCACCCCGTGGTGCAGATTCCTACGCTCTTGCTCCCAAACTCCTCCTTCCTCCCTGTCAGACGTCCGTGGGCTTTGTTCTAGAATCTGAGCACCTCTTTGACTGCCATGCTTGCTTAAGCTCGATGTGTCCTTCAAAGCCTGGCCCACCTGTATCTGGGCTTAGCTTTCATGACCCATCAACAAGGTCTACCCAATGCACACCTTCACCGTGCCCTAGTTTCTTATTTGACTGCACTCATTCATTCTGGCTCTGGAAGCCCCAGATGACCTCACCGTGAAGCAACACCCCAGTTAAAGCGCCAGGAGTCTTGGGATGCCTGGATGGCTCAGTCGGTGAAGCATCAGACACGATATCGGCTCAGGTCGTGACCTTGGGGTTGTGAGGTCGAGCCCCACGTCGGGCTCCGTGCTGATCGTGGAGCCTGCTTGAGATTCTTTCTCTCCCTCTCTCTCTGCCCTTCCCCCACTCATGAGTGCACACACACTCTCTCTCTTTCCCTCAAAATAAATAAATAAGCATTTAAAAAATAAGTAAATAAAGCATCAGAAATCCTAGGAGATCTGAAGCCTCAGACATGTTGTTGCAGCAAATGAACCAAACTCAGAGACTCTGAGGGAGAACCGTGCCCACAGGTCAAACTCAGTGGTCACATAGGGTTTTCCAGAGCATAGTTTTCCTTTCTTTCTCTTTCTTTCTTTCTTCTTTTTCTCTCTTTCTCTCTTTCTTTCTTCTTTCTTCTTTCTTTCTTTCTTTCTTTCTTTCTTTCTTTCTTTCTTTCGTATTTTGAGAGAGACAGAGAGAGAGAACTCAAGAAGGGGAGGGACAGAGAGAAAGACAGAGAATCCCAAACAGGTTCAGCCCTGTCCACTTGGAGCCTGACAAGGGGCTTGGACTCACGAACCATGAGATCATAACCTGAGCCAGAAATCAGGAGTTGGACACTTAACCGACTGAGCCACCCAGGCGTCCCCAGACCGTGGTTTCAACTCAGCACACACACACACACGGCAGGCATCAAGCTAACTGGGGTCCTACCACGAAGGGATTTTTCCCAACTACATGTTCTTTGAATTCTGGCCTCCTACCTTCAAAGGCGAAATTCTTCCCACTGCACCCAACTGTTCGCCAATTCAACACATCCCTCATCATTTATGCTCAACCGCCTTGTTTGGAAAAGACCTCGGGGTCCCTAAGCTGCCACTGTTAGAAAACACGACTCTCTTTACCTTCTTCAGGGTTCTGACACTTGGCATTCCCAAATGCCTTGATCACTTAATAGTGATCATTTCTTGCCTTAGGCTAAAATGACCGTTAAGGGCCTTTCTTGGGGGCATCTGGGTGGCTCAGTGGCTTGGGCGTCCGTCTCGTGCTTTCAGCCCAGGTCATGATCCCAGGATCGTGGGATCGAGCCCTGTGTTGGGCTCCATGTGAAGGAGCCTCCTTGAGATTCTCTCTCTTTCCCTCTGAAATAAAATAAATAAATATTTCCCTAAGAAATAAAGTAAATAAAATAGATACATATTTATATTTATATATAAAATAAAATGTCCCGTAGGGCTCATGATCTTCCCCCAGCAAGAAAGACTAATCTCCAAAAACAACTGATGGTTGGATCATCTGCCCCCTTACGCATGATGGGGGACCACTTGGGATTCGCAATGAACTCTGTACACACCCCCATCATTTTCTTGCCTGAAAAAAGAAGGTAAAGTTTTCTCGCCTCCCTCGCACTAACTTGAAGGCATAGAAGGTTGGAAAGCCAACCTTCAATCTGTTTTTAGAGGGAACAGGGCTGACCCAGCTCTCTATGTGGTTTGATTTCCAGACAACTGTTCCGGCCCCTGGAAACATTCCCTTTGGGATTTGTCCTGAGCATAGTGCTTGACATGCCCTAGGCTCTTAAAATACATTAGCTGGCAATTATTATCAGTATTATTATGATTATTGCTACTATGTGTTAAAATCTGTTGGGAGCACCTGGGTGGCACCCTTATCTTGATTTTTGGCTCAGGGCATGATATTACAGTTGATGAGTTCAATCCCCTTGTCTGGCTCTGCACTGAGAGTGTGGAGCTGGCTTGGGATTCTCTGTCTCCCTCTCTCTGCCCCTCCCCCACTCACATGTGCACTCTCTCTCTCTCACTCTCTCTCTCAAAAAAAAATAAACATTTTTTTAAAGATCTCTTAAAATTGATTCAAATGCATTGACTATTATGTCACTGTGTGTGTGTGTGTGTGTGTGTGTGTGTGTGTGTGTTGGGAGCAGGAAGGAGCATTTGATCCCTTGTTCTAAGAAGCCATAATTTAGATATTAAATTTTTTTAATGTTTATTCTTTTATTTTTGCGAGAGGGAGAGAGAGAGAACAAGCAGGGGAGGGGCAGAGAGGGAGAGGGAGCCAGAGAACCCAAAGCAGGCTCTGGGCTATCAGCACAGAGCCCGACGCGGGGCTCGAACTCACCAACTGTGAGATCATGACCTGAGCCGAAGTCGGACGCCCAACTGACGGAGCCCCCCCCCACACCGCAGGCGCCCCTATATTTTAAAAAATCATGAGAGCAACTTGCACGTTCACTGCACTTCACCTTTGCGTGCAAGGTGGACTTTTAGAAGTCAGCTCAAACACCAAAGTAATGGAACCAAGAATGCGCAGGATGGCACCCCGGTGTCAGCACGGACGTCCTTATCAACTCCACCCCGGCCAGTCCCCACACCAGTACCGACCCGCTCGGCCGTGTGTGGCGCGCCTCACTTTATCGCTCTCGGCGAGTAAGGACGCAATTGGCTGTGCACCTGCCATAGCCACACAGCCCTCTGGGTGGTAACTTTCTCCAACCCATCTTGTCCCCTGGCTTTCTGCCGGGGCTGAGGAACCCGGTTCTGAGCTGCGGACAGTGCGGCTAAAACCCTGCCGCCCTAACTCGGTCTGCTACCGCTCTCTTCTGGTGGCCAGACTTTGTCCCACGTGTCTCCCAGGTGGCCAGTACCTGTCAGCCACTGACACCTGAGCGTTCCTCCACCCCGCAACCTAGAACCTTCCACCGTGCTCCACCCACGGGACGTGATCTCCTGGGAACGTGAGGGCAAAGCCAGTTCTATCCACCGTTGGTTCTTCTGCCAACCCGGACACTTGTCATGGGAATCCAGACTCTTCCACCCCAAGGTGGGATCAATGATCTCCAGCCGTGCCCGGACCTGATCTCATCTTCCACCTGTGACTCGGGTGCCCCTGCACGAGCTATGACGTGAAGGGTCAGAGGAGAGAACAAGACGTCAACAGACAGGATTGCACAAATCTCCACCCGAGCCCTGGGAAGCCTAACGCATGGGACACCCATCGCCCTTCTCTGTAGCTTAGCCTCAGGTCAGAGTTTAATTCTTTCACTAGACTTTGAACACCTGGAGGGCAGGGACCGAATCTCCCTGTCGCGTCCCCAGTGCCCGGCATAATGCCACAGGCACCTGACATGCTCGGTTGGTGTCTGTTGACTAAATGAACATCCCAACAACTATGCTTGATTTCCGGCTCCCAGGTATCACTCCAAGGTCCGGTTCTGCCACGGGAGCAGAATGGACGCTTAGTTTTCTACTAGCCAACAAGTCAGCCACGTGGTATTATTAATACCTGCGTTGACAAGAGTACTCCGAGCCAGTTAAACGTCATTCCAACGTGTCCGTCATAGAAAGTCGAGTTCGCGCAGATAAGCAACAGGTACGAAACGCAGATCAAAACCATGGTGAGCTCCCATTTCGCACCCACTGGGAGGGTAGCAATTACAGAAAATAATAAGTGTTGTTGACGATGTGGGGAAATCGGAACTCCGAACGCTGCTGGTGGGAATGTAAAATGGCCGACCCCCGTGCGAACGGTAATTTGGTGGCTCCTCAAAAAGTTCAAAATGCGCTGCTAGGTATTTATCCAAAGGATACAAAAACACTGATTCGAAAGGGCACACGCACCCCCGTGTTTATAGCAGCACTGTCGACAACAGCCAAAGTATGGAAAGAGCCCAAATATCCATCGGCCGATGAATGGATAACAAGATGCGGTATATATCGCATTGGAATATTACTCGGCCGTCAAAAAGAATGAAAGCTTGCCATTTGCAATGATGTGGATGGAGCTGGAGGGTATTATGCTGAGCGAAATAAGTCAGTCAGAGAAAGACAAATACCATATGCTTTCACTCCTGGGTGCAGTTTACGAAACAAAACAGATGAACGCGGGGAAGGGGAAGGAAAAATAAAAGAATATAAAAACAGAGAAGGAGGCGAGTCATAAGACCCTCTTAACTGTAGAGAAAAAGCCGAGAGTTGCTGGAGGGGAGGTGGGTAGGGGGATGGGCTAAATGGTGATGGGCATTAAGGAGGGCACCTGTTGGGGGCGCCCGGGTGGCTCAGCCGGTTAAGCATCCGACTTCAACTCGGGACACGATCTCGCAGTTTGTGAGCTCGAGCCCCGCGTCGGGCTCTGGGCTGACGGCTCGGACCCGGAGCCTGCCTCATCACATCATCTGTGTGCCAGGAACCAGAAGCAGAGACCAAATACCTCTTCCCTATTGTGTCACAGCTGCCCACTGCTGGACCGATGGAATCTTCCAGAGCTGCCCCTCCGCCCTGGCCTCTAGAATTGCGCCAACAGAGAGGTGGAGCTCCCAAGCCACGTCGATCTTGGCTACAACCCTCTCTCGTCCCCCGTACCCACCATGGACTTCACGATGACCTACAATCTGTGGCGCCTCAGTTGGCTCATTATTGAAGCCAGCATGGGACCCCTTCCTGGCAGGGGAGGCCTCCTGGGGGAGGAGGCGAGGGGAGTCTATTCAGTAGCTGCTGTATCAGGCCCGGGGAGGAGGCACGGCCTCTAACGGCGCAATGAAACCAACTCCATAGTGGGGAGTCTGTCTCTGCCTTCACGGCAGTTCTCGAACCAGTCAGTGGGAGACAAGTGGGACCCACACACGGGGACCCACAGTGATGCAGGCTTTCTGGTGCTGGGGGACGAACAGTGCCAGAGGGGGTCACGGGCCTCCCCAGGCTGGGCAGGCCCCCGCCCAAGGCTGCTTTTATCCAGGCCAGGCAGCTAGAGAAAGAAAACACCCCAGCGGTCTGGGGAAATGCCTCTAAACCCATCGTGACCCTGCGGCTTTCACTTCCAGGCTCACTCAAACAAATCTGGGCCTGGGGCAGTCGCCTCGCACCCCATGTTCCCCCATTTTCAGGCCGCTTTCTTATTGTAACCAGATCAGGCCATCTAGTTGAAAATAGCCTCAATTGAACCTCTGATCCCTGCTGGAGTGGGAGGTGAGGAGACCGCCCTGAAGCAGGCGGCCAGGAGCCGGGAGGGTGGGTTGGAGCCTCACTGACAGCTCAGAGCCTGGAGCCTGCTTCCGATTCTGTGTTTCCCTCTCTCTCTGCCCCTCCCCCGTTCATGCTGTGTCTCTCTCCATCTCAAAAATAAATAAACGTTAAAAAAAAAAAAAGAAAAGAAACTCACCTCTTCCAGGAAGTCTGCCTGGATTACCCTCTCGAAACCACCCACTCCATCATACCAGCTTCCTCAAATGCAGCATTGCTTCCAATTTATATCTTCCTTCGTCACCGAGTCCTTCTAATAAACGGATATCGGAGGGAACGGGGTTCTTGTTTTCTAATTTATTCTGAGAGAGAGAGAGAGAAAGAGAGAGAGAGAGAGAAAGTGCTCACATGCCGGGGAGGGGCAAACAGAACCGGGGAGAGAGACTGAGAATCCCAAGCAGGCCCTGCCCTGCCAGTGCAGAGCCTGATGCAGGGCCCATGAACCCATGAACCGTGAGATCGGGACCTGAGCCCAAATGAAGAATCAGACGCTTAACCGACTGAACCACCCAGGCGCCCCAGGCATGAGGCTCTTGATCAGATTATCTCTCAAACTCAGAAATTAGGAATTTCTCAAAAGCAAGGAGCTTATGTACCCCTCACTCGACATCAGGTGTGTTCCTTTTACAGGGCTGTTTAACCTCCACAACGTGACCGTGAAGCAGATGTTTTCAACAGCTTTGTCCCAGAGCACCCAGCTGGAAATGTGCCTTCCGGGATCGAAACCCAGGTGTTCCGAGGCCCGGTCGAGCATGGCTTCCCATCGCCTGCCCCCTCTTTCGTGGTGTCTCCCTCCTTCCTGCTCACCCGGGCGATAGGTGAGCCCTGATGAACTGGCCGACCGTCGCAACAGAGGGACGCGGGCCGAGACCCCTGTCCCATCTCAGAAAAGAAAAAAATGGCCATTCGGTTGCTAAGAGCCGTCCCTCCCACAAACCCCTCTCGCTCCCCAAGGTTACGGGTCCCCTGGATTTTCACTCCACTGACTCTGAAATGTGGACATTGGCCAACATCGCTCCTAAGCCCCCTTCACGTGCCCTGAGCCACGGCGATCTCTCAGACCTCTGGGTCCAGCCACAGGCAGAGAGGGTCGGCACCGTGCCCCCTACGAGTCCCGCCAGGCTCCCCAAATATCTCCCCCAGAAACCTAGGACAGGTGGGTCCTACAGCCCTGGTACACCCGTCAGTGGGGCGGAAGGGGACGGGGTCCCAGACAAGGCTCTGATGAGCGCCCCGTCCGCGAGGGCTGAGTTATCGACAACTGGGGTTATCGGCAGCCGGGCTCTCCGAGTTCCGAGGAGGGAGCCAAAGGGCCGGTAGCTAACCTCCCAGCTCGGCCCTTTGGCCAAGTGGCATCGCCTTGCCGAGCACCACGCTTCCTGCGGGGCTTATTAATTGTACCCCACCAGCCCCTCGGGGCCCGTTAAGCCGTTGGCACCAGTGTTCAAAGGAAGATCAGCTTCAAGGCCGAAAGCGGGTAACAAGAAGTCAGGCAGAAGCTGTGCTTCCGGACGGATTTCCACGGACCTCTCTCCACTCCGCAAGGACCCTCTGGAGAAGTGGGAGCCCCGGATCCTGGCAGCAAAGGGCTGGCCCAGGGTCCCGGGCTTGAAAAATGTCACGGCCTGTTGCTCTGGTTTCCTGCTGTCCTGTTGGAGAAGCTAGAGACGGGCTGGGCCGGCGGGTGTCCCGGGGAGGGCGCCTTCTCAGGGAGGAGCGTGGGAACTGCAGGCGACCAGACGCACCTGCCCGGTAAAGCAGGCACCAAGGGGACTCAGTTGCCTGGGGAAGTGGCCACACACCCCAAGGTGCGGGCACAGGGCACTTTACATATCAATGAGGTCAAGGATCAGAGGCTGTCCGCTTCCCGGGTGCTGTTATTAGCCTTTCTGGCGAAGAATCTTTCAAAAATAATTATATTAAAGCACGATTCTCTGCAAGTTTAAAATACGGGAATGTTCCGTTTCGGTACGCCTGTGTCACGAGATGATGAACACCCGATGGCCCGGCTACCGCGATGAGGTCTTTCATCAGGTCCCCGTCCTTGCTCTACCGGGGTCTGGGGAGGGGAAGCGAGCTGGGCAGGCAGGCGGCGGGGTAGGGGGTGGGAGGAAGGGTTTCAAGGGCAGGACTTTCCAGCAGACTTTGAGGGGAAGGGAAGGGGCCGGTCTCCTCTCTAGAGGAAGAAAAGGCCACCCACTGGTGTGAGTTCTGGGGTCCCAGGAGGGCTCCTCCCCAGTGTCTGCCCCCCACGTCCCGTCCCTAGGGGGCTGGAATTGGTTTCTTTATGGAGGACACACTGTGGTTCCCAAAACAGAGGACCGTGACAGGGGCTGATTCTGTGCCAAGCACACGGAAGTGCAGGTTGGGGGCACAGAGTTTCCAGACACCCGGGAGGAGGGTCGGGGAGGACCAGGAAGGAGGAGATACAAGCCAGGCAGGCATATTTGGACATACCTGGTCGACTTTACCCATCCCTGTAACTGCCTACATGTGACACAGGACACAAACGGACCCTCCTGGGAGCCAGGCAGCCCGGGAGCCATCGCCCGTCCCCACTGTCACACAGGCTCAGCCTGAGTCACAGGTGCAGGGGAGATCACTTCCACAGTCCCAGAAACACAATGTCAGGGGCGGCTCATTTCTGAGAGTCCCTTTCTGCTGGCTTCGCTTCTCCTCCACGACACCTGCCCACGGCAGGTTCCCTTGTGCCCTTCGAGAACAATGCCTGGCTCAGAGCGAGCCCCCGGGTTTGTCTTATTAGTAGGGACGGTGGGAGTGAAGGCGTGGGAGGCAGACACAGAGAGCAGCGGAGAGCCTGGTCTTTAAACATAAACCCGAATTGGCGCTGGCCGCCTTCTAGGCTCTTCTGCCAACATGACATTGACGCAGCCATCTCTGACCCCTACCTGTGGGTCCAGACTCCCACCCGCCTGCGGTGGAGATCTGTGGTCAAACAAAACCAACCCCAAGAAGAAGAGTTCACAAAGAAGCAGCCTCCCAACTGCGTCACATGAGGTCACCGAGAAAGGGGATTTTTGTGACATCCCACGCGTTGCCCCCACGTTCACTTAAATCACAACCTTGACGGACTAAACGGCGGGTACACAATGCCCCTAAACACCGCCGGGGCTACGGGGGCCAGCAAAACCGTGGAAGACTCTGGACTTGAGTCATAACAAACACGGGAGACGGTTGCTAATGTCACCCCGTTTTACAGATGAGGAAACTGAGTCACAGAGAGGTTAAAGAGCGTCCCCAAGAACAGTCACATGGCCAGGAGCGGCAGAACCACTTGGCTCTCAGTCTCTCTTGGTTGACCACGAAGCTCCCCTGCATGGAGGTGGCCGGCTGAGAAATACAGGAATGGGCGAGAGAGAACACTCCCTCTCTCGGCTGAAAGGGAAATTCAGAGGGCGACAGAGTGTGACCGCAGCACACATCACAGTAAATAAAGAGTCAGCAAACGCTGGTGACCCAGACAGCCAAATGGCAGGGGTGAGAGAGAGACTAGGATCTTGGCAAGCAAGGGTCCCTATCCAGGCAAGAGTTGTGTAGCAGGGGCCAACAAAGCCCAGGTCACCCTGTGGACGAGCCTTTACATCACGGAAGATGCCCACAGAATGTGCCTCTGGTCCTCCCTTGTTGGGGATAGAAAAGGTGACGGGTCACCCAAAATGTCTCGTAATCGAACCATCCAGAAGGTGAACAGGAGCCAGATACCGGAAGCCCCAAGGCCAAACCTGGGGAGGCCGAATACTGTCTCCAGACCATCGCGGGCACCTGCCCAGCAAAGAGGCGTCCTGCCGCGTGCTCGGGGGCACAGACCAGGCTGAGCCACCTGATCTGGCTTCCCAGCTCCCCCAGTCCCTAGCTATGGAAGCCTCGGGAAAATTGCTGGCTTTTTCTGAGTCTCATCTTCCTCCCTGGTAGAACAGGGTTCTTATAAACATTAAATGGGTGGTTACCACATGCCGGCCTTCTTAAAACACAGGCACCAACCCCGGAGATTCTGATTCAGTGGGCCTGGGGCCTGGGAATCAGCATGGCTGACAAATGCCCGGATGCTGCTGGGCCCCCCCCACCCTTCGGGAACCCCCCCCCCCCCCGCCACCCCGGGCCTAGAACAAGCAGCAGGGAAACTCCGGAGAAAACGCGGGTTGCGACCCAGGAACGCGGCTCCAAATTGGATGTGTGAACGACCAGCCCTCGATTTGGAATTTTCTGGGATCTAGGCCGATGTCTGAGACACTGTGCAGGCCACGCAAAGACATGGCCACCCTTGCGTGACCCTGAGCGGAGCATTCAGCGAAGGGCGGCCCCCTGGGTGGAGAGGCCTGGCTCCGTGCGGACGACACAGAGCATGTGCGTCGCTGAAAAGCACGGAAAGCAGGGAGCCTACTCGTTCTGGCGACTTCTGTGCTCTCCTGCTGGTAAGATGTCAAGATAGTTGAGCGGCTTGTGTTTTTCTCTGACTTTAGGAGCAACTTATGTAAATGCGGATAAGGAAAAAAGACAACAACACCCCCCACCCCCCACCCCGGAAAGCTGCAGGTTAACATTCTAATAAAGACAAAAGCGGGGCGGGTAGGCAGGGCGCGGAAAAATTGTTCGGAGGGAGAGATAGTGGGATAAGGGGGGTTAGCGGTTCTCTAACCAAAAGTCAGCTTTCACGGCAGGTATCTGAGATATTCATGCTACAGCCCTGAGAGCATCAGGCAGCATTGAAATGAAAAAAAAAAAATCTAGTTTCTTTCTCTTTTTTTGCTCCCCGAGAGACTTTCTAAAAACCAGGAAATGCGAGAGTCTCAAACATACCCCCGGAGATCTAGAAAGTTGTTTCCATTTGTACGAGTTTCCACAAATAGCATTTGCTAATAAAATCCCCTGATTGTTTGTAATATTAATTAAATTGGAATACACCTTTGATTTGCACTGGCACCTTGGTGTGAAACCAATATCATCGGGCTTTTGTTCAGTGATGTTCTAATTTCCCCCTTCTTTTTGTCAGAAGTAAGGCCCCTCGTCACAAGCAGGGTCTTTGTTGGTTTCGTACAAGACAAGCAAATTCATCATCCTTTCTTTTTCTTTTTTTTTCCAAAATGCAAGGTGCAGGTAAGGAGAGTTGGCTTATCTGTTGCTGCTAATCAATTTATTCAGATCCACACAAATCTCTGTTCTGTGGGTTTGTTTTTTTTTTTCAATTTGCATATGCTCTAGATTCGTTACAACTAGAATCCGATGATGTCTAGTTACCATTCTAGTTGGACAACTTGACCAAGAGCTGTTCGATGCCAGCTGACTTCCAAATCCAAACTACATGTTTTAAAATAGGGATGAATGGGGGCGGGGGGGGGTGCGCCTGGGTGACTCCGTCGGTGAAGCGACCGACACTTGACTTCGGCTCAGGTCATGATCTCACAGTTCTCGAGTTTGAGCCCCACGTGGGGCTCCGGGTTGACAGCTCAGAGCCTGTTTGGGAGTGTCTCTCTCGCTCTCTCTCTGCCCCTCCCCTGCTCATGTGCACTCTCTCTCTCACCTTCGCTCTCAAAATAAATAAATAATTAAGGTCAAATAAAATGGGGGTGGGTAGGTGTTTTACAGCAAGGATTTTGTTTTGTTTGCCTTGTTACCAACTTGGTTTGAAGGTCGAGAGAGACACAGAGTTCAGGAGTTTCTGCTCAGAAGTGGGACGGAGGGCAGGTACAGAGGACGATGCCCCAGACCCCAACCAGGCACCTATTTGCAAATCAAACCGAAGGTTCTAGATATCTGGTACCCACTAGTTTTAGGGGTCCTCCGGTTATCCGAGGAGAGTTAGGGTACGAAACGTCGAGTATACCCCACAGTCCTCAGCAGCTAAATGGGGAGTTTGGTTAAACGCAGGCAGTGCCCTCGTCGTGAACACACTTGGGCTGTGCGTCAGTGCACAGGGGTGTGCGATCCGGGGCCACGACTTTCAAAGTGGCCTCGAAGGTCAACCGGTTCACACAGCTGTTTCTTTGGGATTCGGTCTTAGGCCATGACCACATTCTCATCTCGAGCCCCTTCCGACCCATTAGACGGATCCCTGTGTGGCTCTATTTTAATCTCTGATTCGCTTAATTACCTGCGCTCTGCTCACGATCCAAGGCCACCATTGCTGTTTCCATGGGGATGAGATTTCCCATCCCTCTCCACGTTCGTTCTAAAGCCGCCCTCCTCAGCAGTCCTGGATAGTCCCACCTTCGTGGAATGTTCTTCATGCCAAGCCCAGAGGCCCTCGGAATGGACCGGAAACCCGAATCATAGTCGCAGGTGTCACCCGCCTAGACAGTGTCCACATCCAGCTTTCTTCCCGGAACCCAGTGTCAGGAAGAAGGATCCTTGGAATCACCACCTCCCTGTCCTCGGTCTCCTGCGAAAGAAAGACGTCATGGTTCCCCGCAACGCACCTACCCTCTTCCGGCACAGATTTTAAAAGACGACGCTCGTAGGACGAGACAGTAAACGTCACCGAGTGGCCAAAACAACCAAGCTCTGGGCAATCAGTGTGTCTTCATCTTCGATTTTGGGTAATGGAAGCCTAAACGCAGGCAAGTGACGGGCACTGAGGCTCTGCTACGTATCTCTGTGTAACCTTGGGAGAGCGGTTTAACCTTTCTGGGTCTGAATTTCCCTGCCCGTGACCCTGAGGGGCTTGGCAACATCCTCTGTCAATTTCCTTCCGGTTCTAACATTCCACGATGCTGTGACTCTGAGCCACCCAAGGGATATGGTAACGGGCTACTTCCCGCCAAAGACTCGGATGTAGTGTTATGAGCTGTAACACGGGCTTCCAGCAAATTCCCTCGCTCTCCCCAACAGAATTCCCCGTGTCCGCACTCGGGGCCAGCCCGAGGCAACATTGTAAAGCTGGAGAAGGCTGCTGTCAACCTCTCCTCTTCCCCTGGGGCTGCCCCCCACTGCCCCAGGTGACTGTGTTATTCACTCGTCTTGCCGTCACCCACCAGGGCTGATGCCGCATGTTCCGACCACTTCCTGCTCCCCCAAGAGCCTCCAAACCCGCCTTCCACTCCTCTGGGGCTCAGTGCGCCTTCCGTCAATCTTACGAGGTGCTCCGTTTAGATACATATTACTCGCCTCTAAAAGATACCCAAGGTGAACAAGACGTCGTAGCTCTCTCCTCGGGAGCCTTCGATCTCAGAGGCAGGGGATCCTTACACGCAATTACGCATTGGAACACATCGAGGACAAAAATAAAAACGAAACGCCCTTCTTTGAAGAAGAGGAACCCTTCTTTTAAGGAACGGAAAAGGAGATCGCTCCCCGAAGTGAGAAGGGAAGGCTGTGCAGAAAGGGGGCATCTGAGCCGTGACACGGGTGTAGGTGGCTTCTGATGGCACAGATGGCCGGTAAGAGCATCACGGACAGAAAGGAAAGTGTGAGCAAAGATGCCGAGCGAGGAAGCACACCGAGCGACCCGATTTGGTTGGCTTCCACGGAAAGGAAGGAAGCGAATGAGGTCATGAGCAGGGCTGGTTGAAAGCCCGTCATGAATGCCCGGAAAGCCTAACTGAGGTGCTGTTGTTTTTTTCCATTGGACAACAGAGAGCTCTTGAAGGTCACGGGGCAAGGGCAGGGGAAGGGCAGGTCAGGCAAGTGTGAGTTCCCAACTCTCCCCCGCATCGAGCAGTTGTGGAGGGTGCACAGATGAGAGTTTTGTGTTCACAGAATCCCTCCCCAAGGACATAGCTCTGGCTGCAGGCAGAGGAAAAAAGAACGAGCCTGTCGTGGGGCGCCTGGGTGGCTCAGTCAGTTAAGAGTCCGACTGCTGATTTCGGCTCAGGTCATGATCTCGCGGTTCGTGGGTTCGAGCCCCGCGTCCGGGCTCCGTGCTGACAGTGCGGAACCTGCTTGGGATTCTGTCTAACCGTTCTCTCTGCCCTTCCCCCACTCCTTCTCTATCTCTCTCTCTCCAAAATGAAGAAATAAACATTAAAAAAAAATAATAATAACGAGGAACTACAGACTGAAGTCCTGAGATGGGGGGGGGGGGGTGGGAATGAGACAAAGAAATGTAAGAATTGGAGGAAGCCCGCCCCCCCCCAGGCTGGGGGGTGAGAAGGACATTTTAAGAACTTCTAAAAATGAAACCATCTTAGAGGCATATTGCTAAGGGAACAAAGCCAGTCGAGGAAGGCTACCCACTGTATTTTACCAGCTACGTGACCTTCTGGAAAAGGCGACGCTAGGGAGGCAGTAAAATGATCAGTGGTCGCCAGGGGGTGGGTGGCGGGCAGGGGTGAACAGACACAGCAGAGGATTTTCAGGGCAGTGCAACTCGTCTCACGATACTTCAACGGTGGATACACATCGGTGCCCGTTTGCGCAAACCCACAGGACGGACCCCACCGAGAGTGGACCACAGTGTCAGCTATGGTGGGGTGATGATGGGCCAACGTGGGCTCCTCGGCTGCCACAAACGTACCAGTCTAGTGCAAGATGTTCCTCGTGGGGGCGCCAGGTGTGGGGGTGGGAGACTGGGGGGCATAGGAGAACTCTGGCTTTCCGCTCAGTTTTGCCATGAACATAAAACTGCTCTTAAAAAAAAAAGCCGATCTAAAAGGAAAAAAGAATGGATACTGATATTGCATCTTTTTCTTTTTTATGCTTAATTTATTTCTGAGACAGAGAGAGATAGACCATGAGTGGGGGGGCGACAGAGAGAGAGGGGGACACAGAATCGGAAGCAGGCTCCACTCTCTGAGCTGTCAGCGCAGAGCCCCACGCGGGGCTCGAACTCACAAACCGCGAGATCATGACCTGAGCCGAAACCAAGAATTGGATGCTTAACTGACTGAGCCCCCCAGGCACCCCAAGGGCTTTTTTTTTTTACTTCAGGGATCACCAAGTAGGAGCAGAGATTGATGCACGCAGAGAACACCCCGCTTTTAAAGGCAAGGCAAGGCTGTAAAGAGAGTCCATTTTTACACACACACACACACACACACACACACACACACACACACACATTACGGCCAGGATCTCCAAACTTCACTTTTTCTGTAACACATCTTCTCGAAGCATGTTAGCCTGTGCATGGTAATAGGTGATATGCGTGGAAATATCTTTACATGGTGCGTTAAAATAAGGTTTCGTTTCGAAAACCTCTTTGCCATAATTATGGGGATTCACGGAGGCCGCATCAGGGAAGCCCCTCAAGGCTTTCACATTTTTTTAGAAAGTCCTGAATCCCGGACCCTGAAGCAGGTGTACAAGACTGCCTGTCCCTCCCCCAAAGGAAAAGCAGGGCCAGCTTTCCCGTCACACCCAGGGCCACCAGAGGAAGCCCTTCTGTGCTTCCCAAGCAGCGTCCAGGCCTGTTCTGATTCCTGCCGAATGATGCTAGACCAGCTTGGTAACAAGGGGAAAACTTTCTGCAAATTTAACTCCGGGGGTTTCTGTATTTTGGGTAGGGCTCCTGTTCACGCTTCAGTCGTGCAAGGGCAGAAACTATAGGAATTCATGTGCTTTGGGTGAATTTTTGGAATCTCAGCTCTTCCTCTCCAATGTCATAGTGCCAGGCTACGGCCCCGCCTTCCTCCTCCTCCTCCTCCTGGATTCTCTTCACAAAGAGAATGACAGGGGCGCCTGGGTGGCTCAGTCGATTGAGCGTCCAACTTCGGTCAGGTCATGATCTCGCGGTCCGTGAGTTCAAGCCTTGTGTTGGGCTCTGTGCTGACGGCTCAGAGCCTGGAGCCTGCTTCAGATTCTGTATCCCCCCCTACCCCTCCCCCGTTTGCACTGTCTCTGTCTCTCAAAAATGAATAAACGTTAAAAGAGAACACTAAAAGAAAAAAAAAAAGAGTCCAACTCTTGATTTCGGCTCAGGTTGTGTTCTCACGGTTTGTCGAGTTCGAGCCCCGAGTGGGGCTCTTTCGGACAGGGCAGAGCCTGCTTGGAATTCTCTCTCTCTCTCTGCCCCTTCCCAGCTCATGTGCGCTCTCTTTCTCTCTCTCAAAATAAATAAATAAACTTAAAAAAAAAAAAGTGAATGACAACGATCAACCCCTAGGTAGACACCAGCACGTATTAGGTCTAGCCTGTTGCTGGCACCGACAGAATGAAACCAGCCACAAAAGCGAGACTTCTCTAGGCCTGTCACCCGTGATTCTTACACCAGGGACAGAAAGGATCCTCCTCTCGGGTTGCGGTCTTGGAACAACGCATGCCCCTTGTGCGGCCATCCTCTCATTTAATTGTGTTGTAGACAGAAATTGCGGTCTGTATGTCATTCTTCGATATTTTCTTAAATTTGTCTTATGGGTTAATCAATGGTCAATTTTTGCAAATGTGGCCACGTATACTAGAAATAAATATATATTCACTAATTACTGGGTACAGAGTATGCTTTTTGTATCTTAGAGAGTTTCAAAAGATGTTTATTTTTTAAAATCCTTTTAACGTTCGTGGGCTCGAACCCACGCATCGTGAGATCACGACCTGAGCCGAAGTCGGACGCTTAACCGACTGGGCCACCCAGGCGTCCCAAAAGATGTTTAAATAATCTATGTCTTTCTATGTTTCAGTCTATCGGATCCGATACTGACAGTGAGGCAAAATCTCCCAGAATCATTATGGATTTGTCCAATTCTCCATATAATTCAATCAAGTTTTCCCTGTGTATTGTTTGAGACCGTATCATCACTTCAAGCTTAAAATCGTCGCGTATTTCCAAAGAATGGTTACTTTTCACATCACGGAGACCGCATCATTATGCCTAATTCTTCTCCTTTCCTTGGAAAGCAGTTGTCCAATGTGAATGTGACAACGTTGTCTTGTTTAGCAGCTGGCTCGTCGCTCTTCCATCCGAATACTTTCGATGTCTCCGTGTCTTTACGTTCTGGGTACGTCTCCTGTATTGTGCACTCAGATTGATTTTTCTTTTTTCATTCGATCTCAACTCAGCATCTGCCTCTCATCTTAGGAGTTGAGTCCACTTACAGCAAATGTGCAAACCGATTTTTATGCCTTCAGTTTTTACTATTCTGTGCTTTCTCACTGTTTTTATGCTTTTTTCACATTTCCATTCCCGCATCCTGAGACTAATCAGTTATCCTTTATACTTTTACTTCCCTCTGATACTTAGCAGTGACATATGCAATTTCTAGGTGTTCAGGGGTCAAAATTTTAACGTGCCTCCTTGGCTAACCGAGACCTCAAGTTATTCAGTGTCTCTACCCTCCTCCTAAACAGGGAGACGGACTTAGAACACTTCATGCCGATCACCCCCTCTTTCCCTGTGAGACTGCAGACTGGCATTTCAATTCCTTCTTCTGGGTGGGAAGCCGAGGATCTGTGGTTGTTGGAGAATGTGAGTAGCTTCCTTGCCCTTCCAGTGGGGACAGCC